GATTTCACTTAAAATGAATTCACAATTTTCGCGGTCATGCGCTCGTTATAATAATTTCGCGCAAATACATTCGCGGTAGAAAATTCGCTATAAATGGTTCGCGATTAAAGTTTCGCTATAACGAGTTCGCGATCAAAGTTTCGCTAAAATGTATTCGCGGTTTAGGTTTCGCGGAAATAAATTCGCGATAATGAGTTCGCGATCAAAGTTACGCCAAAATGTATTCGCTATAAAGTATTCGCGGTTAAAGTTTCGCGAAAATAAATTCGCTATAAAGAGTTCGCGATAAAAGTTTCGCTAAAATGTATTCGCTATAAAGTATTCGCGGTTACGGTTTCGCGGAAATAAATTCGCTATAACGAGTTTGCGATCAAAGTTTCGCTATAATGTATTCGCTATAAAGTATTCGCGGTCATGGTTTCGCGGAAATAAATTCGCGATAATAAGTTCGCGATATTGTCTTCGCTATAAAAGTTTCGCGGAAAAAAATTCGCGGAATTGGTTTCGCGATATTGCCTTCGCTATAAAATTCCTTCGCGATAAACGACATTCGCGATAAAAGTTTCGCGAAAAAGTGTTTCGCGATAAAAGTTTCGCTGAATTGACCTGATACGCATGCCAAAAGTTGGCCTCTCCTCCATGGGATTTGAGAGGTCCCGTCAGGACGTTTACCGTCAGATCTAAAAAGACCCTGTGGTTCTAGAGTGGAAGGAATTTGGGCGGATTTCAGAGCATGTTGGATGATTGTATTACATTGCTTGTGTCTGATAAATCGTCCATTGCAGGAGCGACAATGTAAACTATGTCTAACCTTCGAGTCAACTGGCGAGTTGCACCCTGAGGAGATGTGAGGGTGAGTGATGGAACAATTTAGACGAATGCCGATGGCGTGGGTAAATTCATTGTTAGATAGTTGAAGCTGAAGATTAGTAGAAGGGATGGCCTCAAGAAACTCATGTCCCGTACCATTGAGCAGGGAAGAGAATAGGGTGCGGTCGGTAGATTGCATGCTAGATAAGAGAGTTTCAACGCAGCGAGCAACCACTGGTGCATCCCAGTCTTTCTGTCTATGGGTTGTGGGGGGATGAGAATCAGCATTGATCCTTGTTTTCCAAATATCCATAGCCACGATTAAGGAAAGGTCTTCTTTAGAATTATGGGCTGTGGTTATTGGCTTTGTCAAGAGACTACTCGATATGAAAGTAGTTATTGCTAAGTCATGTGGAGATCTGATGCCGAGACCAACAAATTTGGTTGGAAGAGTTGCTTGGGCCCAAGCGGTTTCGTTGAATCTGATATTTACTATTTTTTCGGTTAAGTCCTTTATTCCTTTTTCGTAGGTTTGGAGAGGAATAGGATATTTAAAAATTGGTGTTGACCGAAGTGCGTAAAGAATCCTTGGTATAAAAAAGAAATTTTTTAGCAAAAAAAAGACTTGTGTGATGGAAGAAGTGTAAAGATGTCCTCCAGTTTAAGGAGTATGTTAAGTGTGGAATGAAGAAAGGTGCTTATTGCCTAGTGTCCTCCTACAGGCGATCCTAGATGTATTAATTCAACGCTTGATGTGAGTTTGAAATCGTGAGTGTTGGGAGCATTAGAATTTAAATGTGAGAATTCAGATTTGCTCTGGTTAAGCGAAAGTCCAATGGCTGTGCCCATTTCTTTAATTATGTTGACTGCTTTGGTAATTTCACTACAGGGACCACTCAAGATTCCATCATCAATATACCAAGCGTGGAGCGATAGAGTACATGAAGAGTTTATTGATTTTATCATGTCATTGATTCCAAGACTAAAGAGAAGGGATCCGAGAGGGTCACCCTGTTGGATACCCTCGACAGAAAGTATCTTTTCTTTGTTGAATTGTAAGATTGTTGGTGATTGGTAGCAAGAGAAAAGAAATTTGGTGTAAGCGGGGAAATGGAAGCAAGTTTAATGTAGGAACGTGTTGCGCGAAAGAGTGTTGTAGGCGTTAGAGAAGTCAATTTTTACTAATATTTTCGTATGCTGATATACTAAAATTTGCGTCTAAAGAATTACAAGAAAAAGATTAATTAATTCATACATATGCCTCAATTGATAATAATTTTTAAAAACCACATAATGCAATAATATAATTCTTAGCAACTTACATTGAAAAAGGTTATCAAACTAATATAACTATTACCATTTTACACATTTATAGAATGGACGAATAGGGAAAATTTTATAGGCCTAAACCAAATCAACAATTCTCGAAGAAGAGAGTATAAACGACCAATCCAAATCATAAAACTATTAAGTGGTTAGAGCTTCCTATTAGATGGCATGATATAAGCTAAATAAGTAATCGAAATAATTATCGTAAGATATTAAATTTCTAAAAGATTATCTTGTACTTTAAATGATATATAAACGACTACACAGTTGATCATTATTGTTTATCTAAAATATGCAATCATATGCTCTCAGCCGTTGTTGTAATATTCTTAAATTACATAGAAACACAAATAATAGATACTGAGCCCTGACACTCACGATGTAAACTTATATCAGAATTTATTATGTTGGATAAATTGATAAAATATAAACAATAAAAATATTTGGAAGAAATAATTTTGTAAATATATTGAAGCCTGGAGTTATTTACACTGCAATGCCATATTAGAAATGAAACATTTTCTAACTATAAAATAAGGACCAGATTGATATGATGAAACAATTATGATTTTATATATTGTCGCACCACCTTGGTATATTATATCTTAAAATAATAGTAGTTTGTAATATTATCAAAAATATACTTGTATTAAAAATTTAACTCGAAACTGTTTTTCGAAAAAGAAATATATAGCTTTCCTAAAACTCGTAAAAAAGAGAAGAAAAGATATCAAATTTATTACATCTATTGCAGGATGAATAATAATCTGTTTAATTTTTAAAATTATTTATAACTAAATAGATGGCGTTAAATACTTTAGCGCAAATTATTACCATATTTATTAACAAAACCATTTATTAGTAAAATTTATTATAATATTAACTGTAATATATTATATAACTGTAAAATACGTCTATAAAAGTGGCATTTTATCTAATATTTTATAACTAACTTTATATAATAGAAGATTATAAACTATATATCTATTTATTTACTTTTTATAAAGAAATCTCTTATACTTATATTTGGACCTTGAAAATATTTTTAGGAGTAGGTATGATAATTAAATTTAAAAATAAATATACAGTTGACTAGTCATTTTGAACTCGGCTAATTACAATATTAAATTTGTAAATTTTCAAATAATATATGATTATATTTATTTAATTGGGTTATATAATAATTTAAATAATAAAAGTCAACTAAACTTCAACTGTTAAAGCTAAATTAATATTTAGAGAGTTATTGATATTATATTTTTAATACGGAATTTGATTGCAAGCTGACATAGTGAAAATATAATTTATATGTATTCATCTAATCTAATAATTAAAATAGTATTCATTTAATGAAAATTTAAATAGACTTATTAATTTATAAATAATAAAATTAAATCTATATATTACTTAATGGAATTATAAAAAGAAATCAGTCAGGGGGCTATCAAAAAAATTTATTTTTAGTTCAAAGGGATATTAAGGAGCCATTAAAAAAAATTTTTTTTGCTTCAGGGGGCTATTCAAATTTTTCAGGGGACTCTGCGCCCCCCCCCATAGTGACGTGTTTTGGAGGCATGACAAAATATTTTAATACCTCTTAAAAATTACAATATAAGCGTATTTTAGGGATAATCTAGTTAATGACGGCTTGTGCCTATGACTAAACATATGCATGAGAACATTACAAACAAGAGGTAATCATAGACCGATAATATTACTATTAGAGTCATTTTTGAATGTAATTTATTTTAGATATCTTAGTTATTTGTGTAATCAGAATAAATTGAACAGGCAGCATATCAAACTTTTCAAAAATAATAAAGTTTCGAGAGTGAAATTCAGTGAAATACATTTTTTGTTTCTATTGATACTTATGATTTTATTGTAATATATGTTTATACTAAATTTTGACAAAATATTCTTAAAATTTTTTCTTTTTAACTTTTTCAAAATTAAACTTATTTTTATTAAATGCTTGCTCAAACCTTCTTCCATCAGATGGCATATAAAATCACGGATGCTAATAATATTTTAATATTAACTTTTATAAAAGAGAGGAGTAAGGGAACCTTGGAAGATGGCACTTGCTACTCATTTTCATTTTCTATTCGTCATTTTAAGTTTTCTGGTCATAGTTTATATAGCGACTGGCAAAGATGATGATGGATTGAAAAATACATCTAGTCAGCTAGCGGGGAAAGGAAATCAGTCTCTAGAAGGATTTGGTCATGGATTTTTTGTAGTTATATGTGTTTGATATTGATATATTATAGGTTCATTTATGTCATATAATAATTATATGAATGTATTATAATGTTAAACTAATATTTTTTCTTATTATAACCCAAATCTTTTTCTTTATTTTGATAATCAAATTGGCTACTTTTTAAATAAAATCGATTGTATTTTATTTTTATATTTTAATTTGGCGAACTAGAATATAATTATTTTAGCATTCTTCATAACATTATATGTTTCAAAGTTTTAACCTTACCAAATTTCTTATTTTTTAACTGCTTAATTTTTCGTTTTATTTTGATATTATTTTGTTATTCAACTAATAACTCTTGTCTTTACTAAATAGTGCACTCTTGGGTATACAATGGATTATCCGAAGAGATGGAGGAAGTCTTAGTGGGGTTTCTAGAACACCATATGATATATATGTCAAAGTTTATGCGCAATATTAGAAAAAGAACCAAGAGCTATAGTTGATAACAATTTAATATTAAAAATATTAAATCCCAAGAAAGGGCAATTAATTACACAATATTAATAGTTGAACTTTTATTTACTCAAAATTTGACAGATGAAGTAGATAAAATAGTTGAGCAAGCTGGAATTTGCGTTTACATCTATCCATATAAAATGTTTTTTAAATGATATTGCTATGTCACACTCACAAAGATTTACGGATTCTTTAAATCGATTGGTAATAATGTATGTAGTTATTATCTATTTTAATATTTTACTATTGTATAGAATATTAAAGATGATTTACCAGGCTCTATATCGAACGAGAAACAATTTTTTGAATTAACCAAAAAGGATTCTGAAGATCATTTAGCTGAAGAGTTGAACAAATTACTTGAAACTGCAAATCCTAATGATAAACCGGTAAATCTTAAATTAATTTATTTTATCCAGATTGTTTTACAATATTTTTTTAGATAAACAAATTAAATTGTGTTTTAAAATGTATTTCCATAAATTGGCCTCTGATTATTATTTTTAATTGATTAATATTTTAATATCACATTTTTAAGTTTTATGCAAAGGAATTTGAAGAATATAAAAATCTGTTTTACCACTTCATTCAAGCAGATGCCGATAAGATAGTTTGGGAAAACATATCTCCTTTACCACCACAAGCAGTAATTTATTTTTTTTATAAAATGCCTTTTATACCATGCTTGTTGGTTTTTTTAGAACATATTTTATACACTGATTTTCTAGTAGTTAGTATTAGTGTTGTTAAATGGCTTGATTTGAGCAAATTTAAAAATGGCTAACTAAAGATTTTAGCCAGAAAAGATATTTTACTTATAGAGATCCAAACTTTTGTAACTTTAGGAACAAATCTTCAGGCATGAGTTATTTTTTTGGTTAAAATTTGAGCCATTTAAAATTACTAGTTATTATTATTAAAAATCTGGATGCAATTTTAAAAAGAGGTTAAATAAGATATTTACTAAAATAGAATTACATAAGCTTCAACATTTCACCAAAAGATGGCAGAAAGGTTTGCACCTGTTCTACTACTGTATTATTGTTTTGGGTAAAATCTTAATTTAGACATTTTTAGAAATCAGCTAAATCAAGGTTTTTAACAAAACTACAAATACTTAAAATGGCTAACTCAGTATTTTAGCCAGAAAAATATTGTCTAAGCTTCGAGATTTTGCTAATAAATGTCCAAACCTTTGTGTCAATCTATGAACAAAATCTTTAGGTTTTCATAATATTTTTCTGAATAAAACATTGAGTTAGCCAATTTTAAAAATTGCTCAAATCGAGCTGTTTATCAACACTACTTTTATATTCCATGCTGATGAAAGAATAAAGTTGCACCTATCTATTTTGTTTATTTATTATGCATGCAATTTTTTTTAAAATCTTTTATTATTTAAACTTAACATTATATAAATTTGCTACTATGCTAACCAACTGCTTGTATTCTGACCTTGCCTCATATATATAATTCTCATCCAATTAGGCTTTACATATATTGTCAATTCCACTGTTTGTTGATATGGTAGGGTCAGTTTTTTATATTAGAGATCTCCATCCCTTAATATTGATTGGAGTCAATATAGATAGAACTTAATAATCAAGAGTTTATTTTATGGTTTTTTATGAAGTATAACTACATACACAAATGTAAATACAATGAAATTTATCAATTTATAATAGTGCATACCCTATCAATTGTTACCTCTTCCTTTGGAGGTAAGTGTGAGAGATTTGCTGAGTAAGTTGGTAGTGGTGAAGTTGAATGGTGGCCTTGGTACATCCATGGGATGTGTTGGTCCTAAAAGCCTGATCTCTGTCAGAAACAATTACACCTTTCTTGATCTCACTATACAACAAATAGAAGTTAATTATTATATTCTAACTCCCTTTTGGTTTTAATTATAAATTCATACATATCTTTAGGGGAATGATGATAGATGCTTCTTAAATATAGCCTATTTTTGATTCTAATTATATTTAAAAAAATCTTATTTCAGTATCTGAACAAACTGCACAATGTTGATATTCCCTTGGTCTTGATGAATTCTTTTAACACAGATGTTGAAACGGAAAGGACTCTCAAGAAATACTCACTACTTAAAATCAGCATTTCCTGTTTCCTGCAGAGCAAGTTATATCCTATTTGAATAATTCCCTCCTTTCCCATTGATTATAGGAAAATTTAAAATTGTTTTTTTAAAAAGAAATATCCAAAACTACATTCTCACATAATTAGTTAATTTATTAAAAGTTCTCAGACAGAAACACACAATATTTTTTTAGTTAATAATTTCTTATGGAGATACTTTTAGAGTTTGAAAATTAAAAACATAATTAATTATGGTGCCCTATAATAATTTATGCACCCATTTTGGGAAAGTAAATTTTTCTTGAAAAAAACTTCTCATCAATTTACTTGTTTTTTATGTTAATTCGATCTAACGTCGTTATAGATTTCCCAGAATAAATAAAGAAACTCTTCTTCCAATAATTCACAGTGTACAAGAAGAAAATCCTGAAGCGTAAATTTTTTATATACTAAACCTGATCATATTATATTTCCCTTACTCTGCGTTTATAGTAAACGCATTCAAGCGTTGCGTTATTTAACACATCGTTATCACATCGGATTCAGTTTTAAAAACTAATTTAAGATAAAATTAAGATATATTTATTTCATATAATATTTTAAAAAAAATCATCACTCAACATATGTTTTTTCAAATTTTATCATAGCATTATCATCATAACTAGTGTTGTTAATCGACTAACAGACGACTAATAGTTATAGTAGTTAAATTCAACTAAAAATTTTACTTACTAAATTAGTCGACCAAGATTAGAATTATTTATTTTATTAAAGTTTTTGAAAACATAAAAAATCTACCTAATTTTCTATTAATAAAATAATAATTTTAAAAAAATATTAAATTTGGTCAGGCACTAAAAACAAACAAATTCAATTAAAATTATAAGCAAATCCACGAAATTAGTAGTTTTTAGTCGATTTTCTGTCCACTAATTAAATGATAACATTTGATAATTGTAAATTTATACCTATTTATTGGTTTTATTTGTAATTTAAATAACACGCTTTAACATGCTATTAATGAGGCCTTACTTTTATTTTTAAGAGTTAAAAAAATTTAACAAATGAATCAAATCACGTTTAATCAAATAATAATACTAAAGCCTCTTATCCTCGATAAAATTAATGATCATCTTTTATTTTTGTATTTTTCAATTACTTTATTTTTTTTTAAATTAAAAATAAATGAATATTATTTTCATTATACTTTAAAAATACTTGTATTTCATTTTAGTCCTGATAATAGAATAATCTAGTTTAATTTTAAATGATAGGACATACTTTTTATTTATAAAGGGCTAAACATAAATTACAATCTCCTTTTTTAAGCGGGAATTGAGTATTAACTGTTGACATTCTCTAAAAGAAAATTTATCCAAAACTTTATAAAACAATTTTCCTCCTTTTTCACTCATGCGTAGTGTTGTTAAACGGCTCGATTTAAGCCGTTTAAAAATAGCGAACTCAATATTTTAGCCAGAAAAATATTGTATAAGCCTCGAGATTTCGTTAATAGATGTTCAGACCTTTGTGCCTCCTATGAGCAAAATCTTAAGGATTGCATAATATTTTTTCTAATAAAATATTGAGTTAGCCGTTTTTAAAAATTGGCTCAAAATGAGCCGTTTAACAACACTACTCATCCGTCCGTAGATTTTATACTTGATAGAAATGGTGAATCCTTTCTTTGTACAATGAGGATGGGAGTTCTCATTTTATTTTCTAATTAAAAAATATTACCATTATCAATCTCAAAACAACTTTCCTCACCAGACGACGCCCTTTTCCATCAGAATATCCAGTCTCTATATTTTATTGCCCGTTTGAGTCTCTTCTTTATATCAATTCCAATAATTGTTTTTTTCTGACTTTATGCAAGTAAAATAATTAAAATAATAACTTAGAATTTTTTATATCATGAATATATATTACAATTCTTGAATACTACTGCAATTGAATTTTGAGACATATATTAAAAGCTAAACTTATTTCTTATTTATTTCATATTTTTTTAAATTATGGTTCTTTTTCTACATAAATGATTGTATATACTATAATGTCCTATAATCTCGTTTAACCCGAGTGGTATCATCGAAAATATAATATGAGATAACGCAGGGCTTTAACAAATTTAACTTTTAAATGCGTAAAATCGTACTTATTCACAAATTTAAAGTTAAATTTTTGCATATACATTTTCTCGCAACATCTTGAGCCTATTATAAAATAAAATTCTAATTTTTTTGTAAAAATAACTAACAAAAATTTTGATTTTTGCAAAAGTCGTCATTTTTTTAAAAAAATTTAAATTTAATTTTTTTTAAGTAAACCTAAAATATTAATGATTACTAAGCATTAAAGAATATTCATTTTTAAGAAAAATTTATAATGAGTAGAAATTGACCTAGGGCTTTTTTACTCTTGCCCGAAATAGACGAATAACTCAAATTTAGGATAAAAATATGCGCACTTTAATTTTGGCCCAAAATAGAAAATATCACTACCTCTCGAGGGCTAACATCCTTAATATTTTTTAAAAATAATGATGCAGAAAAAAAATTAAGGTGATCATTTTCTTTATTGAGTTAGGAAATATTATCAACATTTTAGAAAACTGAATTATTTGTTTTTTTATATAGATTATTATGTTTTAATTATAAAATCAACAGTACATTTAGCTTCATTCTATGCCTAACCACTTTATTTATTCTATAATTATCTCAACACATTAATATAGGTGGTATCCACCTGGCCATGGCGATTTTTACTTTTCGTTTTACAGGTCCGGCCTGTTATCTTCATTCATCAAGAGCGGGAAAAAGTATTGCTTCCTCTCCAACATTGACAATTTAGGAGCCACCGTTGATTTGAGTTTAGCACTTCATTTCTAATTTTTTTAAATTTTGGATTTTTAGAAAAAGTCTGATTTAGGCAGAGGGCAAAGTTTGGAACCAATTTACTAAGCTTCCTTGAAAAAATAATGGAAGAAAAACCTAAAAGTTTCATATGAGTAAAACATTTGTAAATCATATTAAAGAAAATAGGAATATTTCACGATTTGAAAATAAGAAATGAAAATTATGATAAGATTAATAATGCTTACCCTTAGTTGCGGTTTAATGAGGTTAATAAACCTATTTGATATTTACTTCAAAAAAATTGAATAATATAATGTATATTCTATATTATCACATTATAATTTTAAATGTTATTAAACTAAATTTTTTCGGCCGGGTCTTATGTTTAAAAAAAATTGAATAATATAATGCACATTCTATATTACATTACAATTTTAAATGTTATTAAACTTGAAAATATTCGATAATTTGGCCACCACTCTAAAGTTACTAGCTGATGAACCGCTATTGAGCAGTCATTACATAGAGGTTTTACTAGGGCTATATTGATATTAAATATCGGTATTATACGGCCCCGATATGGACTTTTAATAAAAATATCGGATCGCACTATGTTTTTAAAATTGAACCGATACCGATTTTATATTTTTTATATTACATTTTTGATTTATTTTTGAACTATTTTCTCTCTCTCGTAATAAAGCTTCATAAATCCCATATAAAAGTGTCATAAAATAAAAAGCTTAATGCATTTTTTTCTTTTAACGATAGAAGAAATAAATTATATTAATAGAATAAGATAAAATAAAATTACCCAAAATTTTTGTGTATTTTTATTTGTCATTGTTTATTCAACTGTTATTAAGTAAGAACTTTTAGTAAAATAAAAATCATGCGAATTTAAATTTGATTAATTAACAAAGATATCAATATTTTATCTCCGATCGATCCTCGTGAGGATTGGAGGATTAATGCTTAAAGGTTTCCAATTTTGGTAATACTCGCACCTATTGGCATCTCCTGTAACAAGTTTTATATTAGAATCAGTCTTTAGCACAGTTTGTGACATAATAGTTTTATTAAATGATTCGATTTATAAAAATGGCTAACTCAATATTTTAGGCAGAAAAATATAGCCCAAGCCTCGAGATTTCTCGAATGGATGTCTAAACTTTTGTGCCATCTATGACTAAATTCTTCAGGCTTGCGTAATATTTTTCTGGATAAAATATTTAGTTTGCCCTATAAAAACAGATCGATATCGGTGCTATTCGAAATAAATATCGGATTGAATCTATGAAAAACTTCTAGATCATTGAGCACTAGGTTTTACTGTATTTTGAAATCGGTGCCCAAAATATGGTTTCTAGTTCCAATTCCTAAAAGAAATCGGTTTCAATTTCCGGTTCCGGAAAATGCTAGAAGTGCGATTCTTTAAACTTTATGGATTTAAAACTAGAGGCCTGTCTCCAAAATTTGTCCTAAATATAATCTGACCGACCTTTTTTAATAAAGATCCCATTCGATAAAAAAAATTAAATGGATTTAGGGGAGATAAAGATCATTTAAATAAATCAATTCCAAATCTTGTAGGAAAATAAATTAAAAAATTTTCCTCCGATTGGGCACGGGCTCCAGTTAGGACTCTATTAAAAACTATAATAATTGCTTGATTTACAATACATTTTCTAGATATTCTGCAATATTTGCTGAGCGCGAAGGAGGCTGAAGAACCTGATTTCCTAGTAGAGGTGACCGATAAAACACGAGCTGACGTTAAGGTGCGAAATTTAAATCTATAAAACAAAATATTAAAATATTTAAGAAAAATAGATAAAATAATATCAAGTAAGGTAATTTATATAAATTTAAACGGAATTCAATTATACTTTACTATGAACGGTTTATATCCTTTTAATTTTCAGGGAGGAACTCTGATCCAATACGAGAACAAACTCAAGTTGCTGGAACTCGCACAAGTCCCATCCAATCATGTTGACGATTTCAAGAGCATCAGTAAATTTAAGTGAGCTTTATTACGTTTATTTTGAGATGATAAAATACCTTATCTGTAAGTGAAGAAAAATAAATAGTTCATCCCATAAAAATAAAAAAAAATAAAATTTTTTGGGGGATTAAATATTATCATAGTTTGAAAAAAGAATCTTCAAAAAAAATTTTTGAATATTTTTTCATACTCTGTAAATAATATTTTACCCATTTTTTTTACAAATCCCAAACTCATATTTCAGAATATTTAACACGAACAATCTATGGATAAATTTGCAAGCCATCGAGAAACGGGTCAAGGCTAAAAACCTTAACCTCGAAATCATAGTGAACAACAAAGTTAGTACAGTTTTATTTTATCCTATAAATACAGTAAGTCCTATCTGATTTGGGCTCTTGATAATTCTAGCTGCCTAATTTGACAAAAATTTTGAGCCCTAAATCAAATTCCTATTGACACACTAAAGTCTTGATAAATTGCGAAACTGTCTTAATTCAGTCAAATATTGTTCCCAACTCCAAATTCAGGTTTACGACATGCAACATAATTATAGGCAGGGACCGAAACAATAGCGATTTTTGCCTTCTGGTTCTAAGAAATTTTATGTTTTCTATCTCAACTTTTTTTAAGGGTTCTTATCCGGTCCTGTTGTTTAAATTTCAATTTTATAAGAGAGCTATTTTTTTTAAAGAAAACTTACTATTTGGTTAACATTATAAAAACTATATTTTATATTTAAAAAAATTTTAATTAATTTTCTGGGTTTGTTTTTTTGTGAATAAGATTTTGACCATAAGTCAGAATCGAATATCGATTTAATTTTCATCCATAATAATTTTTAAATGATACTGGCTTTTCCTTCCTTTAACTTTATTTTTTTTCACTCGATGACATTTTTAAAGACTTTGATACATTTCAAATTCAAACTTTTATAATTTATGGTCAGACTTTGGATAATGGCCTAAACGTGATTCAATTGGAAACAGCTGCTGGCTCTGCTATTCAAAATTTCGATAGATCATTAAGTATAATATCCAACTTTTTTTCCATGTTACTTAGAATTAATTTAGCAAATTATAAATGTATTATGACAAATTAGTTTTATCAAAAACATAATTTAGGATTTCAAATATAGAAATGGTGTTATTATAATTAAATTTATAAATGTTATCATAAGAAGAATTTGCTTGAAACGCTTATGATTATTATATTTTTTAGTTATAAATTCACCTCCCTTTAGGTTCAAAATACTCATTTGCCGTACTCATAGAAATATTTTAAATTCAGGGCCTTCATAGATCCGAGATCAAATTTTAAAAACTTAAATCACGTTAGCGCGCGTTTTTATTAAATTTTGGAAGATCTGATTTTTGCCAAAATCATATTCTTGCATATATAGAATACCTATTTGACCATGTTGAACGGAAGACAAAGAACGATTTGTTGAATAGATAAATAGCGTTGACTGAAAGAGGGAACAAGACCCAGTAGGCGATATAAGACAAGTATGATGTGAAAACTAGGTTTGACCCAAGGCGATGTTCAGGACCGCGGAAAATGAAGAGGGATAAGTGACTACCCGGATTTGACCAATTAACGTTTAATGATATATTCCCCATTAAAATTATCAAGATTTTATTGCATAATCTCTCTGTAATCCTGCAATTCCTGATTGTGGGTTTCCTCAATCTAAGAGAAAAGTTTGAGATGTTATTAGACAATAGTGCAATTGATTATATAACTTTCAAACAATGGTTATCTTTTGATCGAACGACTCTTGAAACATTTTACAAGTCGACATACTAATTTATTAATTTTTTTTTTTAAAAATTAAATAAATCTCACATACATTTATATCTTCTATCTTCGCAACATTCAGCATTTCATAATTCATAATCAAGTTTAAATCTTGGCCAATTTTAAGCTATATTGATTTTTCAGAAAATTATGCTTTTGTGGCGCACACGTTCAAGGATTCCACTGGAATTATAACCACACTACTCTCCATCCCTTTATGGTGTATTATCGTGAGAAAATATTAACAAACTTATTAATTATTTAATGCTGTCATCATATCTCAAATACAACACATGTGCCGTTTATTTTCAAACCTAAAGGATTAATTTTCTAATCAAAATTCCAAAATATATCAAAAATATTTTTTTTTTCTGATGATGCAATAACGCAATATAAAAATATAAAAAAATCATAATCTTTGCCATCATTAACTCGATTTCGGAATCATAACAGAATGGCACTTTTTGCAAAAACCCATGGCAAAATTGCTTGCGATAGTTTGGGAGGAATTACCAAAAGGTTAGTGGCAAGAGCGAGCCTTTAGCGCCCTCATGAGAACCAGATATTAAATACTGTTATTAAATTTTATAACAAACATGTAAGCGACCATGAATATGAAAAAATGGTAAAATATCTTGAAACATGGTTTCAAGAGACTAAAACGCATTCCCGGAACACAAAAGTTTCAATGCTTTTATACCTCTAATGGAAATAAAATTAAAAATTATAATAAACAAATAAATTAACCATAACCCCCCCCCCCCCCCCCCCACACACACAATACTTTTTCAGATCTTAAATAACTATTCATTTAAATATTATACATAAATTTAATATTTATTAAGAATATTTTCAATAGACTAATGATAAAAATCCATATCTCCTAAACCTGTGCTCGGCCCAACTTGAAATTTTGTTTATTAATTAATCCTATAGCTTTTCATAAAAAAAAATAGAGAGTGGTGATCATTTCCGGTTTTCTATTTTCGGTTTTTGACATTTAAATTTTTTTAAACAATATTTACACTGCATCATTGCAAAGGCCTATTATTAAGCGATATAAAGAAATTTAAATGAAGCTTCTAGCTTAATTTTATCTAAAGATATTTATAATTAAAGGGATTACATTTTGCCCAAAATGCCCGATCTTTTTGACATTTAGAGGCCCATATCCCAACCGCTCTTTGAAGTTGAAGGCTATATTTTTCTTAGTTATAATATATACAAATTCTTATAAAATTTTTAAAAAAATCTGAGGGGGTCGGATTGAAAGTTCTGTTTTTTGTTGGTTTGTCATGGAATTCACCATATATATAAATTAAAAAAGAAGTTTCAAAAGTTCACGGCAAAATTGCCCGATATTCACAAGATAGGTATTTTTAGACTAGGTTCATAGTAGGATCAGATCCGACACTATTTAAACGCTGAGCGACTTTAAAATTAAAATCAATCATTCTTAGATATTTTTATGAATAGAAAAAATATAAAAATTGAGCTCATAAACAGATTTAAAAAATTGATTAGCTGCTAAATTATGACGGATCGGATCACTATGAATCTAGCCATATATGTGTTGTAATAAGGGTCTTTCAAAATTTAAAATGATTTAAATTTCTTCTTCGCTAAATTTTCACAATCTCGCATAAAATTATCTCACGAGAATTTTTTATGTAAATAACCTATTGTTGGATATAGGTTAATAAAATGAATACGGTTTTCGCATTGTTTTGATCACTGAAGTCTAAAAATAGTATTCTAAAGTATCAAAACCGTTACTTAAATAAATTGTTTTCCTTCTATTTGATCAATCGAAATTCTAGAATTCTAATAAATTGCACAAAATTTATTATTATTGTAATATTATATTTTAGAAATAATTTTTTTTAATGGTGATTGTTATAGATATTTATATTATATATATCCTTACAAAATTTATGAAACTCACTCTAGAAGGCTTGTCTCCCACCCATTACTAATGTTTTTATCAATCCATATCTAACCATTCTTTTGACTAATTTTTTAATGGTTACTTCCACTCGTCACCACTAACTGATTCTCATTCCACCCATTTATAATACTCATCTACTATTTTTATAAAGTTTTTCCATATGTTTCGAAAAAAGTCTATGTGCACTCTTCTGAACTTTTAGCTGATTCCCAATCAGGTGCAAAATAATTAATAAATCTCAAATACAAATGTTTAAAAAAAGCTTTTATCATTGTTTTTTAAAGTTTTTAAAATCGTTTATCTCGTAGCACCATTTGCTGTAATTAACACCAATTCAATGGATGCTGAGGATAACAGTGTATTTTAATTTATAAACAAGGTTTTTATGTTTAGAAATTGAAGATATCCAATAGTCTAATAAAAATAATGGAGGAAAGAAGAAAGAAATGAAATTACTCTTATGATTTTTTAAAAATCTCGGGTTTTTATTTGTTTTTTTATTTATATAATTTTTTTGTAATATAAATATTAGACATAAACATTAAACAAATAATAAAACAAAAAGCGATTAATTTAAGAATAGTAACGCTGTTAGCTGAGTTTTTTGTAGATAACGACTTTCGCGTTACTCTACAGACGATTGACAAGTTATCTCTTTATATATTTGGTAATGTACCCATTAAATTACAAACTAAAAAAAAATATTATTTTTCTCTATATCTAAATGAAAGGTATAAATGTTCCGCGCAAACGTTTTTTACCGGTTAAGAAAACGTCGGATCTGTTACTCGTGATGAGCGATTTATATGAAATCAAAAGAAGCTCTGCCCTCGTCATGAACCCGCTACGCGTCTTTCAGAATGTTCCGTTAGTCAAACTAGGAGATTTCCATTTCTCTAAAGTAAAATCCCCCCCCCCCCTCTTAATTAATAGGCACGGTTTTAAACAGCTATTGATTAATATTATATTTAAAAAAGGTGCAAGATTTTTTGAAGCGTTTTGCCAGCATCCCTAACATCATAGAACTTGACCATCTGACTGTTTCTGGAGATGTCACATTTGGAAAACACGTGACTCTAAGAGTATTTGCATTTTGATCATTCATTTCCTATCTTTTACATTTGTGAAACTTTATTACTTTTTTCTAATTTGCATTTATATTATTTTGTTCTTTAATGCGAGTTTTTTGTTTTGGCGTTTTTTTAAAAAATTCGTATTTCTAAAGTAATACGTAATTATTGTAGGACTAATGGTTAATATTAAGGTTTAAAATAAAACTTATCTTTGGTTAAAATATAATAATATTGTCTAAAATAAATACAATAAATTTGATTCGGTTTTTAAAATATATTCTAAAGTAACTGGATAATTTTGTCTTTCATAATTAAAAAATTTTTTTAAAGGTTCTTTTAGATTTTTATTTCTAAAAACTCTGAAATTAAAAATTCCAAATTTTTCCAAAACCTTAAAACCTATTAATTTTTTGATTCTTTTTTTGAATATAATAATCAAATCTTAGGCCACATTTCCTGATTTATTATACTTCTTTTTATAATTTACAGGGCACGGTTATTATAATAGCTAACCACGGTGAAAGAATAGATATTCCTACTGGCTCTATCCTGGAAAACAAGATTGTGACGGGAAATTTAAGAATTCTTGATCATTAAAACCTTTTTAATTTTCGAAGATATTTTTGTTTTATATATTCTTGCTTGCTCTATCATGGAAAACAAGATTGTGACGGAAAATTTAAAAATTCTTAATCATAAAAACGTTCTTTAATTCTAGAACACATTTTTCTTTTATATATTCTTGGCTCTATCCTGGAAAACAAGATTGGAAAGGGAAAGTATTCTTGATCATTAAGACTTTCCTTAATTCTTGAAATTTTTTTTTATTATATATAAGTGTTAGTTTAATTTTTTATAAATTGTCAAAAGGTTGTGATAATTGACATTATAAATATTTCATATTTTATGGGCTCATCTTTTTTTTAAAACAAATTATAATATTTTATTTATTTATATATAAGCCGATACATACATTTGAAATTTATAACTTTTATTAAATTATATAATTTACGTGTACATATAAATTTATATTAAATAAGGCTCTAAGTTACATAAATTATAAGGTTCTATGGTTCTATCTGTTAAATATCTTCCAAAGATTTTTTGATTTTATAATTATAAAAAAATAGAAATTATTTGTATTTATATATAATTTTTTTTAGTAAATTTTATTGGTATATATATAATATATAAATTATTCTATTTTGTCGGTATTATAACAAATTATTTAATTGAGTATAATTATTACAAATTTTTTTAAAATAGAATACAAATTTTTATAAGAGAATTGCAATCTTAGTTTGCAGGCTGTACATACACTTTTAACTATATTATATTTTATTATTTGGGTATAATGTAAATGATTTATATTTGTGATTCCTTCGGGATATTTTTTTGGAGTGACATTTTATCTATATTCGCTTCCGAATAAATGAAATTCTCAAAATTATCAAATCGTTAAGAATCTTTTTACAATTATGTTTTTTAAAATTTTTAAACGCGAGAGCGGATATTACAAAATTTTATTAAATTTGAATAATTCGTTTTTCATAAATTGGTTTTCTAAATTTTAAACCCAATTAACTTACTTTGAAGAAGGGTATAAATAGGAAACTCCAGCACTCATCCGAGCATGCGCAACGTCGCAAACGTGACGTATTTTTGACTATCATTACACTGCCGTTATTATTGATACTCTAATATTCAAAACCTCGGATTTTAAGATTGTATTTTAAAAAAACAGATGATCCGAATCAATAGACTATACTTCTGATATCTTAGACTCGGATGATGAAAATCCTTATATTGATAAATGTTTTTAATTTAGTTATATTTAATTCAGCTTGGAATCCTGTGGTAAATCTTATATTTTTAAAATTATTTTAAAATATAACTATTTTCTTTTCAATTTTGCGAATCTCTTAAAGCCAAACACGGATTTTAAACTCCCTGTAATCCCGACTCCCCTTTTTTGAGAAAATTTGGGGTTCAGTTCGGGTTTCATTTGAGTTTAATTTAAATTTATTAGACATAAATCTACAAATATTTTAAAAAATAAAATTTTGTTTTATAAAGAAAAGAATAATATTTATAAATTCATGTCATTTAATTACTATCAGGGTCGTAATTGGACTTATAAATTTACCAGGGCTCAATGGTAGTGTTGGTTAAACGACTCAATATAATCAATTTTTAATTAAGATTTTAGCCAACAAAATGATATTACGTAATCCTCCAGATTTTATTAATAGATATCCACACCTTTCCGCCATCTATGAGCAAAATTATTAGGCTGCTATACATTATCTATATTTGATTGATATTGTTAACTATACCAAAAACGAATCATTCGATTCGTATTTTACTAATACTAGTACCAATTAATCGATTCAAAAATATCGAATTCGAAGGAAAATATATTGTTGGTCGAATCGACCGTCGTCTAAAATAATTGATAGTATTCATAAATATTGGAAAATAATCATAATATTATTAGTAGAAAATATTATTCCTATTTAATAAAATTTCCTAGTGGAATAACGAAAAATATTTTATTTTATTTCTTTGCTAAAATTGGATTATGGTCCAACTCAAGGAAATTATTTTTAATCACAAGACCTGTCAGATTTGACAAGTTATTAAAAAATATGACTGAATTTTATTAAAAACAATTTTAAATATAAACATTTACTATATCTCAAACTTTTAATTAACCCAAACCAATATTTTAACCTTTAATCCTACATTTTTAACTAAATATATTTAATCCAATTAAAATTCCTTGAGTTAGGTTAGACATTTTTTTTTCCTTTCAATAGTTTATTTATTTGAGTAAGTAAATCTTATAACTATTTTTTTCTAAGACATTAACAAAAGCGATAAATATAATTCAGGAGAACAAATGGTTAAAGGTCTTAAAAAACTAGGAAGGAGAAGGAAAGACAGAAAGTATAAGGAGGCATGGTCGGTTATTTGAGAAGAAATGAAACTTAGGAGTTATAACGAATAATCGGTAGCAAGCCTTTGTCGTAAAAAAGTGATCTCTTAGGCTGATCCTTCTTGCTAATCCGTCTCCCCAATTCTTTATAAAAGCATTGAGCTTTGTCGAAAGTGATAAGATTGGAACAGGTGATGATATGAAAAAGTAGAAGGATCGATGGAGCTATATATGGTGTTTTTCTGAATTTCTGCAAGGGAGAGATCATCAACGTTGTGATTGGATGGTGCATTTGGATCAAAAAGGGAAAGCTAAAGAGAAAAAAAAAATTCTTACATAATGAAGCTGTTATATTTGGTGTGTCTTGGGAAACAGCTTCAATATAAGCGGCAATGGAGGCAACACCTCTTGCTATCTACGCTGATTTTATGTTTTTATTGGTAATAGTGCGCCCAAATTATGCATTCGTTTAAATTGGAAACATATAAAGTAAAATATTTTTACAAGATAAGAGGTTATTTTTAATATAAAAATAAGCCTGGAACAAATATGAAATATATTTTTATTAGTCTATATATAATATAATAAATTACTTGTATGTACATTAATATAAAAGCATGGTATTAATTTATTCCAAACAAGTATAAGAAATTTATTTATAAAAAGTAAGTAGACATATAGTTGATATTCCTCTATTATATAGAATTGGTTACAAAATTCTTAAAATTCCCCTTTTACAGACATATTTGACGTTAGAGAATATATTACAGTTAATATTTTATCAAATTTTACTAATCAATGCTCTTGATAATAAATATAGCAACAATTTGCATTCAATTATTTAACGCCATCTTTAAATACAATATGATATTAAAAATTAATCTTTATATTATTCATCCCACAATGTCTTTAAAAGATATTTTATAATTTTATATAAAATATATAATTCGCTATATTGGTAAAGATTATTTGATTGTCATATGATAATTGATAAAATTAGATATACTGTAAATCTACGACATATAATATTCCACTGTTTGTATTGTATTTTAATTTTTTATTTAATTTATGATTTAATTTTATCAATAGTTTTATAAATATATTTTACTTTTATTGGGATAAATAAATTCAAATTACTCACTTTATAAAAAATTATATAATATATTATATTATTTAGTAATTTTATGGATCTTTAGAATAATTATAATACATTTCACTTTTGTCTTAAGACTTATCGGCTTATATTCCATTTCTTTAAAAACATTTTTGGTTTACGTTTTTTATATATAAATGCTTTTTTCCAAAATTGTATAAATTATGATGAATAGTTTTAGTTTAAAAAAATATCAACTTTTACATTCTTTCTTTCAAATTATTGTTTAAGATATATGCATACATTTTTGGGGGTCAGGGAGTGGGGGAGGAATAAGGTGGTTATCTTTTATTAGCTTAAAATGATATTCACAAAAATTGATAAATTTCTGAAGGGGGGGCGATTTCCCCTCCCTGGCTACGCCTATGTATATAATTAAGAAGATTCATGCTTTAACAAAAAAATTTCTGTTGTGCATTTATGAAATATATCATAGTATATGGAATTTTACAAATATTTATTTTGAAAAGAGTTTTTTTTTGTTAAAAAATAAATTCGATTATAATACAATATAGTAATATACAAAGAGACTAAAGCTAAAAAAATTGGGTTTTTAATGTTATATTTAAAAGTACATATTATAGCTGATATTTTATAATAAAGTTCGTTAAAAAAAAATTTTTTCAAACCATCTATGAATATAAATGCACGTTAATTTTATTGTTGTCCTGCTCTCTTATACAGTTGGAAGTAATTGTATCAATTAATTTAATCATTTTAATTATTTAGGTTCAGGGTTTAAAATATTGTTGTACTGAAAGATACCGGTCGACTTGTACTAATAAATATAGCGACATTAGCGATAAAAATAACCTAATTCTATTTGGACAAATATCAGATGTTAACCTAAATAAGGCTTTATAAAATGGTAACACTAACAAGTAATTTTTCAAAAAGTCCTTTCACCACTACAAGGCAAATGTTGGAGAAGAGAATTATGAAAAACGCAAAATCAAAAATATCTGCGATAGCTACGATCAAACACGCAGATACCCTATCGAAACAAGAATACCTATCAAAATAAAAATTAAACATTTCTTAACAACTAGGCCACCTACTACAACAACTAGACCATCTACCACAACAAACAAGTCTCTTAAAGTTACAACAAAGTCAAATATTATTCCTACTGAGCCTCTCACGGTACCAGAATTTATTCTCGCTGCGCCTACAGATCCAGAGACGATTCACACTGAGTCTACCTTGTCAGAAACGATATTTATTGAGCGAATTCCAAAAATTATCCGCGTTGACCCATTTGCAAAAGCAATTCTTATTGGGCAGCTAACACTTGAAATAGATGAGCCGGAAATAGAAGACGACTAAGCTTATTAGATTTTATATTTATAAAATCTGTTTTTAATATATTTTTTAAAGTAGTTCAACTTTTTTATATAATATTTATCATTTTAAATACTTTTAAAAAATGTAGATATGGTATTTGAGTAAAATATTACTCAGCGATTAGGAACAAAATTATTAGTATTAATAATTTAAACATTTAGATTCACTAATATACCAAGAAAAATTGTTATTGGTTAAAAAATTTTTTAACAATCATTACACCCAACTTATTTTACATACCAAATTTTGAATAGATATTTCAGCCAATTTACCTAACAATATTAATATTACCAACCCTGCCTTCTAAATTTGGAAATTAAAATTATTAAAGAGGCATCCAAATCAAAATTAAAATATCACCTATCTATTTTACACTTATTTATCCCCTATCTCCCCTTTTATTATAATGACGATAGTGAAAACTCCCAATCTACTTACTATACGATGACAATTTTACTTTTGCGCACACCCCCCCCCCCCCCCCCCCCTCCAAAGAAAAAGTGTGCAAAGTACCTTTAGCTCTATCTATTTCCTAAAAAATTTATTAATGTGATTATTTTCAATATTTTATTTTATAATTTTGACTTTGTAATATGATTATTGACTTTGATGTTTGGGTTGTATTTTGTAAAATGTCTACCTTTCGTGAATATTAATTAACCCTTGTCACATACTCACATAGGAACAACAAACGCACCTCTCATTTTTATCAAAGTATGCACATGGGCACTGTCACTATTATAATTAATTTTATAAAACATAACACTAGCAAATATGTCATAAAATAATATCTTTTTATACTGTAAAAAAATCGCGCCACAAAACGTGATCTTGTGTGCACTTTTGAAATTTAAAAAAATAAGTAGATTTCCTGTACATCAAAGGTTTAAATAACTTTCCTCCTGAATTTTGTTATCACTCATTTAACTCGAGCCGACTATAAAATGACTTTATCACGAGGCTAGACAGAAAATTTAGCTTATAATAATTATTTTTTGGATCAACCTCGAAGTTGTTGGAATCGCTCAGCTTTTGGGCTGTTTTTTTAATGGTAATGCCGTTTTTGGTTTGTGTTTAAAAAATTGGAGCATTGACACTAGTTATGTAATAAGAAAAAAAATATGTACATTAACTTTTAGATATATTAAACTTAAAATAAGAATAATTTAATGGGGAAAACAAGTCTATTTAAGAATACATACTTTATTATCCAATATAAAATAATTTATTTATTCCTTTCCTTTTATTATCTTTCTTTCTTTAATATACCAAATTAATAAAATAACCAAAGTTCTGCAGACCCAAGTAAACCCGCTCCAGAATAAACCGAATAATTTGATTTCAAAAATCCAGATCTAGCCATTTTTAAAAAACAATAAATCTGGTCCTAGAAGCCCGGGCTTAAATTTTAAGAAATTAAAAATCCGGGATGGACAAATTTCTAAAAATTTATTTTTCAATATATCATTAATTAATCAGTGGAAATATACTCATTAACTGCTCATATTCTTTCCCTTTAAACAATTTGCAAATCATTAAAAAATAAAGAAATTTTATAAATTACGGGACGGGCCATAATATAATAAAAATCTAGGCCGACCAAAAATAAAGCTATTGCGATGCCCGGGAATAAATAATTGTAAAAAAAATATTATCGAGAATGGCATTAATTACCAACAAACTTTGTTTAGAGACCAATTTTAAAATTGAACTGACATGTGGGATGAAAGACATTTCCTGACTCAACCCCAAAAAGTGATATATCTAGATAAGACAAATGCACAAATTCTTTGTTTTATGAATTATAAAACGTGGCATAGGCGTAATCATGATTTTGCTGGGGGCTGGGGTACTAGGTGAGGCTTTTCCCACAAATTGGAGGTCTTTATGTCCTTTTATGCTTTGTATATTAGATTTATATTAAAATAATTTTGGGCCTTCATTTAAATTTTTTTCTAAAAATTTTAAACTATATAGTTATTTTAAAAATTTTATTCTTATAATATGGTCCATTATTTACATCAGCGATCTGCATCGGGCCCAATTATTCAAGCCCGGTCCGATCCCGAACGAATATTTTTGTCATTTATCCCGAAAAGCTCGACCCGAAAAAAATTATTTGTCCACCAGCCCGGTCCGAATTTATTTAAATATAGAAAAGTTTTTACTGTTTTTGATTGTAAAAAAATATTACTGCCTTGTTTCTTGCAAGAATTTTAAAATATATCAATTTATTTGACAAAATGTAATGATATCATATTTAAAAATTTGCCACCAGCCCGAAATTTTTTAAAAAATATTAAGCCCCACCCAGCCCGAGCTAAAATTATTTTTTAAAACTAGACCCAGATTTCTAATTTACATCATACCAAAACTAATTTTAAAAAAAAACAATAACATGCAAAATATTATAATATAATTTATTTAAAATTATAAGTGGTAAAAATTTGTATAAATAAAATAAATTTTTAACTATTCTAACGGCTATAAAATTCTTGAGAAATATCATTATGCACATGAAAAATAATTTGAAATATAAATAAATATTTAAAAAAATGCTATGCTAATGACGTAATATTATTTCCGCTTTTGTTTAAACTTGATATTTTGGGTAGTATTGATTTAGATGGTTGAGTTACAACCTTTCAAAAAAGAAAATATATAAATTAATTTTTTTTTATATTTTACTTTTTTTTTAGATGAAGCTAGGATATCTTTAAATAAATCTGAACGGATAAACCGGTTATAACTGTCGCTTTTCATTAATTGATATATATGTTCCTAAAATTATAAATATTATATTTTACATTATGAGAATAATAAAAAAAATTAAATAAGGAAGATTTTTTTTTCTTACGGCAGCTTCATCGAATGTATTTCGACTAGGATTTTTCATGTTTTCCCGAGTTAAATTTTCGGATTTACAATCAATATTCAAGGAAAAGGTAGCGCTCGTTGAGAAATAATTACTTTAATTTGGTAATGATTAATAAATTTAATTTAAAAGTTAATAAAGATTATTTTTAATTTTATTTTTTTACTCGTATATCGTTTGAACAATTTCGGCGACTTGTTTGGCGGGAGCGGTTTTTAATTTTTTCCAGTCTTCATAAAATCTGCGAGTAAATTAATTCGAATTAAATCTTTTTAAGGGTGTTTTGTTACTTTAAATTTTCTCCGCTATATTCTTTTTCCAAAAATTTCATAAACTGTTCTCTTCCGGCATTATCTTTCACTAATTCTTTTAAAGAGAAGGTCCATTTTTTAATTCGTCTAAAGGGCAAATCCCGACTATTTTATAAGATAATAATATTTAAAAGAAATATTAATTTTAATCTTGAATAAATAAGAAGTATATATTATTTAGTTATAAAAATGGATAGGGAAAGGTAAAATATTTCTTCTTCCTTCCTCTATAATATTTAGCAGAGACATGGCCTATCCAAGGTAAACCCTATAAAAGGCCATCAACTGAACCAGAATTCTTCAGTTCATATGGGTTTAACGTTCTCGACTTTTAATGTTTTAAATTTACGGTATAATGTTGTAATAGTGAGCATTGAGCGTTTTTCAACGCAAAAAATGCTATCGTGCAAATTATCATTTGCGTCAGAAACCATTTAAAAAATAACGTAAACTGGTTAATTATTTAAATACTTTTATGTGTGTTTATTCTGCACGTTGGTCTGACCCGTTCTTTAAAAAATAAGTTTTTTCGCAAGAAAGCCAACGAAACCTTGTTACCTAGATAAGAATAATAAGGGGGAGGACACTAATAATCCCTTCCTAGTTGTTTAATTATAATGTAAATTAAATTCAATTATTATACAAAATGTAAAAAAAAATTTATCTTTTAAAATGAAATATTTAGATTTTGCTGAAATAAAAAGGGACGATAATATAATCTACAAAAACCAATTTTTTTTCTTCTAAGAGTCGAATTTATCATAAACGCGTTATGTTTAAGCGGTGCGTTATTTAGAAAATCAACAATAAATAAATAATTGATTATATCGCTGTGATATAATTTGCAAAAGATATGTTGCGATGCGATGATAAAAAATATGTAATACGATTAAAGAAATAAAAGCGAAATTACATTGTAAATATTTATTAGCAATTTTTATAAAGCAGAAGAGATATTTTAATAAATATCAGAGTTGTTAACTAGATACAAAAAGATGGCATCTTTATGCGTATCCAAACTTTTAAGTATCTCTATCTATTTTTAAATACTTTTAAGATACATTTTTAACTCTTATTTCATATGTGAAATATAATTTAAATATTATATATCAAAAAATATTAAAACTAATAAAAGAAAAATATATAAATATTATATTTTTTTAGATCTATAAATATCAGTTCAAGATTATGTAGGATAATTTTCTCATTAATAAATAAATTCTTGCTTACCCATGATGGCCTATAATTATTTAAAATAATATCATTGATGTACAAAATTATTTTAATTTATTTAAAAATTTTTAAAATGATTTTATAGATATTCCATGAGAATTTGTTCGAAAGAACGGCAAAAATAGGGGTATTGGCATTTATTTTATATGATATTCGAATTGATTGAGTACAAAATATAAAAATGGTGTTTACGTATTTTATGCTCATATGAGTTTCTGTTTGTAAACAACGGCAAACCCTGTATATAAGTATAATAAAAATTGTATCTGTATCTAGATACAATTTAGACAATGTATCAGTAATTAGATCCATTTGAAAAGTATCTCTTAACAACTCTGATAAATATTATCGCTATGATGAATCAGCTTTGAGTTCAGCGAAATAACGCGTTTACTATAAATTCTGCATCAGTTAAAATTTTGAATCGCCGATACTAATCATAAAAGCATTACTTTAATTTTTGGTCTCTAATATAATATTTAAAAATAAGAAATTTAAAAAATAAAATAAACATGTTAACAGATGGTCCATAGTTTTCCCAATATTCTATATTATCGGATATCCAAGGATTCGAAGGTTCGGGAGGCGTTAGGAAGGGATCGTGTTCAGCGTATTGTTCGCAATAATTCATAAAACTTTTTTTGTCAATATAAATTTATATTTTTTTTAAAAAAAAGGTACTGATTTTCAAAAAATTTTTTTAACAAAATAAATGTGGTTTGCTTATTATATAATTTATATATATATATATTAAATAATAATTAGATCAATTAAAATAATCATTTTTTTTTGCAATTACATTTCTGACAGATATTGAATTTCTTTGATAATTTAAGTTAGTTATTTTTGATGATTTAGCAAAAAAAAAATTGAATTTAATTATTTGGAATTTAAAATAATATAGAAATATAATTTTTTTGAAAAAATGATAAGCAATTTACCTGAATATCATTTACAAACAAAGAGGTACAACTTTAATTAAATATCAACGATATTTGATACATACGTTAAACAATTTACAAATCAATAATTAACAAAAATAAACAATTCATATAAATCAGTTTACAATTCAGAGATTTTTGAAATCTTCGCTAGTCCACGATTTAACTTTCTTTGATTAATTTGAATCTGAATATATTTTTTACAAAGAAAGGTAAAAATTAATTAATTCTTTCTATATAAAAATAAATTACCTCGTCCTTTAACTCTTCAACCGATTTGTATTTTTTAAGATTGGCAATGTTCTGTGTTTTTTTAAAAAAATATTGTAAATTATTATAAATCAAAAATAATAATTAAAAATGATTAGAATCATACTTTGACCCCGTGCTGTTTAACGCGACAAGATTTCTTTATATCGGCTTCCATAATATTTACGGAACCGGGCTTTTTTTAAAAAAACAGTAAAAAATGTCATGAATGTCGATCATATCTAAAGATAAGAAATCTACTCTTAAATATCTAGGAAGTGATAATAAAACCATTTTTAAATTTCTAGGAATCCGGGGGTTCTAAACAAAATTAGAAATTTATAGGCATATTTGTTCTAAAAAAATATTTCTTTCTTAACCTTTTTAATTAATCATTTTCGAAGGTTAAAATTATTTTTCTGAATTATTAGGACCATAAGTAGATATTTTTGGCCTTAACTTAAATCTAGAGCAAAAGCGGAGTTAGAAATCTTATAAATAAATCGAGTGCCGATATAGAACACTCAAATATTGACATAAATAATATGTAAACCATTTCGAATAAAAATTTTAAAAAACTTACAACTGGCCTATAAACGTCCCAGAAAGCCCTTTCTTGACTATCCAAAACTTTTCTCTCCAGTTTATCGCGCTTTTTATCAACCCTATTTTTTTTTAAAAAGATATTTATATTACTTAAATAATAAAAACTAACATTTTATAAAATAAAAAAGAAAGTAATATTTTTTCAAATAAACTTTGCCTGAGCTTCCGCTTGCAGATAAATGAATTCCCATTTGCGAGAAAACAATTTTTGTAAACGAGCCAAATTCTCAGCCTCGTAATCCACCAATTCTAAACGTGCCTTATTCTGCATTGTTCTTTTACACAGATATACAGCTTTGAGATTTGATTCAAATAATATTTCCATTATTTATATGTTAGAATTATTAGTTGGCAGTAGCATTAATAGGGAGGAGGGCGCACAGGAGCGCAGGCCTCCTTTGAATTTTGAAAAATCCTCTGATTATTTTTTAAAATCCATTTTAATTGATAGCTAAAAAAAGATGGTCATTTTAAAAAATATTAGCACAAAAAATAATTCTTGAGCCCCCCCCCCCCTCCCCCAGTGATGCTACTGTTAATGGGTAATAAATTTTAGTATCGGATAAAAAAACACTATTTTTAAAACTGGGTTACATTCAAAAATAAATCAACAGAAAAACGAGATTTTCGGACTGAAATATTCTTGGTGAGTGTCAAAGCCCAAAAATATTTCCTTCTCAAAATTCTAGGAATATATGTCATTTTCAAATTGAAAGGAAAAAGAAGCAAACAACATAAGCTTTTATTATAATTTAAAAATATATTGAAAATTAAAAAAGAGATAGATAATATTAAAATGTAAAAGCAATACGTTTAAATATTTTAAAAAAATTATGATTACACAAATTTTTTTTTTGCCTTATTTTACTATAAAAAAATAATATATATTAAAATTGAAATGCAAAAAAAAACCGTAAAAGTTGAGAAGTTAAGGCTCAGATAAAACGGAAATAGTAAGAATAAATATTGTATTCATCCTTGCAACTCAAAATAATAAAATGTAAGATTAATATATAGTTTTCTTAGGACAACATATCAAATTATATAGAAGGAACACAAGAAAAGATTTCAAGACAAATTTGCAGATAATCGGCACCCCCCTCAAGAAATCAACCTTAAAATTGTTAATTAGACTACTTTAAAATTCTTTTATTTACAGTATCTTTTTATAGGTCCGTTAAGTTGGCCCCGCCATTTTGAATTTTTCATGGCTAATCTATTGAAAGGATTTGTACCCGTTTAGTACCGCTTTAAGTTCAATTTTTATCATTAGCGTTTTTGAGATATTCAAAAAATAAAAGGGTGGGGCCAACTTCACGATGAGAAAAGATGTTCGTCCAAAGCACAATTATTATATTATATATATAGATATAATGATCATTCATTCATATATAAATAAAATTATTACCGTAATCTGTATTTTCAGGTTCTGTTATGTTGGAAGGCCAATAAAATGGGGTCTTTTGAAGAAGATGAAAAAAATGGAAATTGGTTTTTAATTTTTTATATGAATTTAAAATTAATAACTTTAAGATGTGCTCATAATGTTACAGATATAGAAATTCAAAACGATAAAAGGAATAAGTTGAAAAATTCCCATTTTCAAGCCTGGTTTTATAAAACGTTTCGTGACGATTTATTAGTGACTATAAATATTAAACACTTCTATAATATGGCATATTATATATTTTTTAAAAAAATTCAAAATTCCATAGTTAAAAGAGACGCAGAAAAACAAATAAAATGGTCATAGAGAAAATATCGCTTATTTTTGCGTTTAATTATAAATGCAGATCCTACCTTCAGCCTCATCGTGGCGGGGGAGTGGCAACGTCTTTTGGCGGCAAATGGAGGTCTAAAAGGTTCCCTGTGATCTGGGTCTAGAATAGGATCACCGTCTCCTCGACGGGGTGTAAAAACCACTTAAAGAGGTTGATGTCAGGAAGGGCATCCGATTGTAAAAACCATGCTACAAAAATTTCCCTATGGTTACAACAAAGCATGGGCGGGGTACAGCCCAAAGTACCCCGTGGGCCTCCTCATCCGCCTACGACAAAAAGAAGGATGGGAAACCTGGTGGAACCACTATTCATGAAAATGAAACCTATGACGGCCATAAACGACCTAATAAAAAGTGGAGAAACCAGTTTACGGGTGATCGAGTTAGGGTCGCGACATGGAATGTTGGGAGTATGACGGGAAGAGCGGGAGAAGTCGTCGATGTATTGCACAGAAGACATATAGATGTGTGCTGCATTCAGGAGACTAGATGGAAAGGAAATGGGACCAGAATGATTGGCAAGACTAGCGAAAAGTATAAATTCTTTTGGCAAGGAGGTAATGATGGTAAGGCTGGAGTTGGGGTATTGGTTGCGGAGAAATTGGTAGACAAAGTAGTCGAAGTGAGAAGGCTAGACAACCAGATAATGGTTATCAAGATGATTATTGGTAGAAAGCTATATAATATGATCTCGGCATATGTTCCTCAGGTTGGAAGAAGTGAAGAAGAGAAAGATGTATTTTGGGACAGTCTATTGGGGGTGACATCGAGACTGGCAAATGAAGAGGGGATTATCCTGGCTGGCGATCTGAATGGACATGTGGGAGCGAGTAGTGAGGGTTATGAAGGAGTACATGGAGGGTTCAGTTATGGCATGAGAAATTTGGAAGGAGAGAGGATTTTAGAATTTAGTGATGCTATGGATATGATTGTTTGTAATACAATGTTTAAGAAAGAATCAGAGAAGCTGGTGACTTATAAGTCGGGTAGTACCAAAAGTGTTGTGGATTATGCACAATGATGGAAGTAGGAGGATCAAGACCTAGAGGAAGACCCAAGATGACGTGGACAAATGTGATAGCGGCGGATATGAGAAGCTTGAATCTTACAAGTATTGATGCTCAGGACCGTCAAAAATGGAAAAGAAAAATCAGAGGGAAAACTGGCCTACCCGGGTAAACCTGGAAATCGCCATAAAACGGAGAAGAAGAAGAAGATGGGTATATTTTTTGATTCCCGTTATTAATCGCTAAAAATTTGGAATTTTGCTTATATCTCCAAATTGGGCACACTGATATTTCCATTATTTTCTTAAAAACTCAGCTTACATATAATTGTTTACTTCCCTAGCATCTAATAATAGTAATTTCAAATTTACTTAAAAAAATTTCTAAGAGATATAAGCGAGATTCCCAATTTTTAGCTATTTAGAACATATCTCTAATTTTTTGGCGCGCTCGCTTTTTAAAAAAACAAGGAAAATGTCATCAACCTAGACTACTTGCTCAAATAATTAAAAAAACGAGATATTTATAACAAAATTAAATATGGGGGTAAACAAGGGACAAATATCGAAAAAAAGAGAAAACTACGCCTAAATCGACATCTCTGGTGTCATATTAAATATTTAAAAAATCGATACTTATAAGCATTATTATAATACATCGTAAAAAAAATTATATTAAAAATTCCATAATACTTGAAAACGATAGTATGTACCATCATTTTTTATTGTCAAAGCATGATCATCGATAGGAAAGATATATCCGTAGCAGGAAAGTAAATGTGCTAAATGAAGTGCTTCGCCTTATGTAGGGAAGGGGGGGGGTGTCATTTGAATAATAATAATTACATCCAAAATAAAAACATTATTTTTTGCTAAATATTGCTATTCCCATAATGTAGGAAGTAAAAAAAATATATATCGTGAAATCCACTATACTCTAGAAAAGATATGGATCAAACCGAACCCTAACCTTTAAACCGGTATTAACAGTTATTATTTACCGAATTTGAACTTTAATAAATTACCCAAACCTGAACCTCTAAAAATGCCGGTGGACCGGTTTGAACCTTTTAATATAATTATTAAAGGTGATTGATAATCAGTTTTAACTAAAAGGGATCAGTAATTATTTTTTATTTTTCTGTATCGCTATAAGACGGTGAAAGTTACCCAAGTTTAAGCTCTAAAATTTATTCTTCCTTCTTATAAATATAATTTGACAGAAGAAAATCTTGAATTTAATTGCATAAAGGCTCAATATTAATTTGTTTTAGAGAAGAGTGATAACATTTAAAAAAAAATATTACATTTCATTAAACATAATTCTAATTCTTTTATGCGAAAAGGCCTGAATCGGGTTTTAAAGTTCATTCATACTAAACCGATATTATTATTTTTTAAGAATCAATCCCGAACTTCTACTTTTATCCGAAAGGAAACCGATACGGTTTGGAACACTAACCATAATTAATAATAGTATATGAACCTACTTAAACACTTTATTTCTATACTCAAAAAATTTTAATTTAAGAAATTTTTTTATACATATATTTTTTAATATAAAAAAAATTGGTGAATCAGGAATTACGGCTAGTAAATTGATTCATGTATAGACCGAATGTTAAAACATAATAACATTTTTCGGCACGTGGGGAAGGGGAGGCTATCGTTTTTAGACGAGCCACATTTGGTACAACCATTCGGATATAATAATAAATATTATCTGCAAAAATATTAATAAAATAGATCGTCTTTGTTGATGCCCTTTTGAGAAAGATGGAAATACAGCATAAAATTTGGAGTGCATAGTGTTACGATTATTACAAGGGTCTTTAAAATCCTAATTTCCAAATAATCTAGTCCGGAGATAGATTGTCATTATTATAAAGGTAATGTATATGCATAGTTCCTTTTTTATTTCAAATCCTAATCGATAATAATTAAAAAAAGATTCAAATTTGTTTACTATTGTATCATACTAATAAATTAAATGTTTCTAAGGGAATGGACGAAGGCAGGGGCTTGAACAGAACCGCGAAACCAGTACGAACCGTAACCGAACGATTATAAAAAATATAAAAAGAGCGAACCGAACTGTTATAAATATATTGAACTGGTTTTTAAAAATATTTAATTTTAAATTATTAACCCAAATTTGAATTTTTAATTTTCCTTGGGGGCAATTTTAATTCGTGATTTCCTTTCAAATTAAATTATTTTTATACAAATAAATTATCTTTAACTTTATATCATACCAAGTTTATTTTTTTAAACTTTATATACTGAATTTTAGAAGGGGGGGGGGCATGAAATTATGAATGATACGATGGGTCATGCGTGAGTGTGAATAGATTTTAAATTATGTGATGAGCTTTTCCAAAATTTTTTAAATTTAAAACATGCTCTATGGGTCAGATATATGAGTACCAAACCTGCAGGTTTTTGAATACATTCCATTCACTCCTTTAGTACCAAATAGGAATTAATCTTGGCAGTCAGCCCATTACTTAAAAAAAGACTTCCTGTGTATCAAAATAATTCAATATTTAAAGGGAAATTATAATATTGACAGACAAAAAATGGTTCAGTGAAGAGGAAATAATCAAAAAAATTTGCATCAAATTCATCTTAATAGAATTAAAAATAATATTTATTTGGCCCAAAAAATGTATTTAATATTTTATATAAACGAAGTTATATATAATTGATTTTATAATTAAGTCTTTTGGATTTTGAAGTCACTGAGAAAATATTAAACGAATTATTTAATTAAGAAATCAGCTAGTCATTTTCATTTATTAAGATAGAATTAGAAATAATTAGAAAGTACATATCACAAAACAGGAAAAAATAATTAATGATTAATGGGAAGAAAATAAATTAAAATTAAAGATATTATAAATGCACTAAATGGGATGTTAATATAACTTTGATGTACATATACGGACGCATAGCTAAATAAATAAATAAAGATATGAGAACGGAAATAAATATGGCACAAAGAACTATTACCTCAAGCCTTTGGCTTAATTGGCTATTACGAACATTCTGCAAAAAGAAAGACGGATATCTCATAAACGTATGAAAGAGGTCATGGAAAAAAATATATAAAATCCCTTTACTCTAATAAATATTATTTTTTTTAATTAAATGCACTCGTGATTCTACAAGAGCAATATAATGATCAAAAGGGTAAGGATGCTACAACGTGTAGCAGTTTCCCAATCCTACACCGGGTCTAAGAGCGGAAGTCTTAATTTTAAAGTCTGGTACCCAAACTTATAGTTTAATCTTTGGTAAAATAATTATTTTATGATCACAAAGATCATCTTAGATTATAGGCACAGTAAGGGTTGGCTAATAAAAAAAATATTCGATTAAAATCAAACATAAATAGCCACGATTTTTTTAAATTTCCAAATTTGGTCAAAATAATTAATAGTAGTGAAAGACATAAACTAAGATTGGTCCAAAATTTAATTTTTTTAAAAATCAAAACTAACAAAATGCACTAGTAATTATTACTTGAAGAAAAAAAATATTAAGTTATTTGATTTAATTTTCTATTTCAATTTAGGCGCAATGTATAAATTAATTGTATATTCTACTACCAATGTAGTGAGAAATTATTTAATATTCTTAAATTAAAACATGATGTAAAATTTAAACTAATATATGCAATATCAATCAACACATTTTTCTTTTAAAATTTGTAATAATATTGATAATGTAATGTTAATAGTATATTATGTTTCTTTAAAAAAAATAACCAGTGTAAAATTTAAAAAAGGAACTCCAAAATTCTTATATTAAAAATCAATATGTCCACGACATTGTTATTTGAATAAATTATTTAAATAAAAATACTAGCTTTCCCTACCTTTTTTATTACCTTATGAAAATACACTTTTTACTGAAGGTAAATGAACATGATGCAAATAAATGTGATGTGAATAATTGTTTCACTACTTTTATCCTGAATTAAAGTCCCCTTACTAACCATCATTCATTATTATTTCATCTGAAAAAAAATAATTTAATTGAATGGGTCAAATGTCAGATCAGTTTGGAATTTTACCAAGATGGATGGATTTATGTTAGGTAGGATATAGAAATTTGCCATTGTTAAATTTTAAAACATATTTATGTTTAAAGGAAGAAATGTACGTGCTGGTTAAAGTAATAAAATAAAAAATTTGATATATTAAAGGAATAGTCCTTTATAAACCGCCTTACAGTAAATAATTTAAAAGCCTCAAAAATAATAATTACCTTATATTATATTCTATTTATGTAATATTATTTTGTATAAACAATTGCTATAAAACTTTTAATAAAGATTTTTTTTTAAATTAAAGCATATAATGAAATAACTAACATTTTCATTAGGCACTTTAATTTGGGTCATAGTATAGAGCACCATCATTTTTGTTTGTCAAATATAAATTAGGTTTAACAGTTTTGTTTGAATTTAAGAATTTCATAATGGTATTTAGATTGGTTTAAAAATTAATATGATCGGCCTTTTTATTTGACAAAATATTAAATTAGATCAATGTTATCAATAACAATAATTTTCCTGAAAGGATCGCCTGAAGGTAATATTATTACTGAGATTAATTATGAATTTATGAACATTTTTCAATCCAAATCCATAATCTTCTAATTAAAATATTATTTATTATTTGATTTAAATCGCGATTAAAATTTTAAAAAATCGATTTTTTGTTTCTTTTAGAAAAATTAAAATTTTCGCCAACCCTAAGGCACAGTCAGCTTAAAACTGAACCATGGTGCTGGAATAAACCTTATAAACTTATAATGAAAATATTAAATGTAACTAACCGAAGCTTATAAATATTAATATAACGGTTAATATTAAAATTGTATATATATAATAAATGCTCGCGAACTTGAATCTTCCACGATCAAATTTTTCATCATCCATTGGATAAGATCAGCTCCTAATAAATATAAACGAAATATCTATAAATCGTAAGCCGCATAATATTAAAATTTCTAGATGTAAAAAATTATAATTATAGGTTAGGCCAAAATGAGATATAAATAATGATATAAATTATATTTCACCATAATCCTTACAAATTTATATGAATATTTAGGAAGGTTTGAGAATTTACGCGATCAAAATTAAATGGCATGTCAAAAAAAGGATAACAAAAAATCTATGTGCAAAAAGTACGTATTTTAAGAAGGGTACATCTAAAAATTTTCCGAAAGCAATTTTAGAAAATAGGGTACTAGCTGGGGGTAAAATTTTTAATCGGGCTCGTGTTAAATTTTTTTATAAAAATTGGTGTGAATCTTTGATTTTTCATAATTCACGATTAAAATTTTAAAATAGTCTAATTTTATTCTTAAAATAAAATGTCAATTATTTTGGGGATGACAACTAAAATTTTTTGGAATCTTAGGTTGCACGATGCGAATTTATCAATATAAAATTCTAAAATGTTACTTGGCCCGTCTCCAAATAAAGAAATTATAAATGCAGGAAATGCCACACTAAACTGATACAGTAGCGAGTGGGGAAGAGGGTAGATGGGAATGCCCTCTTCAGGAATTCGCTACTTCTCGTAAATATGATTTAAGCCAATAAAAATAATTCCTATACATCTCCCTCTCCCTGATCGATGTATACAACATCTATTATAAACAATAATTGAAAGAAAAATAAGTAAAAGTTAATAACTTTTCAACCTAATATAAAATGACTATAATTCAAAATTTTCAGAAAAACGTGTAAATCCAAAATTATTTTTAGAAAAATGTAATAGCCAAAGGCATGCAATATGATGAAAAACATACCTAATAGTGCTCCCCCCTCCTTAGCAAATCTTCGCTACATCTATGATACCGATATAAAAAATATTTACCGGCCTAAATTAATTATAATAAGCTATCAATATCAAATTAGAGGCCGCAAAATTTTTCCTCCATAAAAAGTGAATAATATTTTTAAATAGTGTCGTGATAAAATGAACGTGAGTTAAGAATGTCCTAAGAGCGATTTTTTTTACCATCTTCGTGGGTAAGTGGCTCATGAGTGAAAAAAAATAGCAAAATGCATACCTCTCACTAATCCAGAGACCATCAATCACCCATGGCTCATTTATGTGTGTGTCATGTATAAATAATTTTATTCTTTTCTTTCAAAAAATTAATTCGCATAAAAAAATAATTAAGACTCTACGGTTTAAAAAAACGAAGAAATATTGATCAATTTATTCCAATTTTTACCGGTAAATACTGATGGTATTTTGGTCAATAAATTTTTGACTGTTTTAACAGGTAATCCAGTCGCTTCATCTTGCATCTTTTCCACTACGTTTTCGATCTTTTTTAAATATATGTAAATTTTATTTTTAAAGAAGATACATATTGTAATAAACAATTATTTCTTACTGACTATCAAAAAATTTCTCATTTTATTCTTTAAAAAATTGAATAGTCAATTACCAACCATCCTTTTATAGAATTATGATTTTATTTTATTGCAATTGATTGAATAAAGGCAATAATACCTACCGAATGAAAAACTTAAAAATAATGTCAACTATTTGTAACATTTGTGCAAAATTAATCATAGTGACCAAGGTCAATTTTTTATATAAATATGGAAACAATGGGATAACGTGTCCTTCCTCTCAAAAACCTCCCACTAATGAAAATAACTATATTCAAACCTTTATTAAATATTACTGAGTCCCATTCTTTTAATATTATCATGTTAATACAAATTTCCTTAAAAGATTTTAATAAAAAAAGGGATCCACCTTGACATATCTACCCAATCAATCTAGAAACCTAAATTCAAATTTGTTACAAAACTTATCACAAAAGTTAATGACAACTTAAATTGCTTAAAATCATGAGAAGACTTACTAAATGTCTCTCACAAATGTCTTATAGGTCCGGCTAACAAAGAAACCTCACTACATGAACAAATAAAATCACACACAGATAATTCTGACACTATCCAAATGAATAACTAAACCCATATCAATAAAAGGCAAGTAGATGATATAACATTCAAATGCAAAATAATACCAAATAAAATAGATCAATGTGACATAGGTGGTATAATTAAACCTATATATTCAGACAACCATCTTTCGCCTATTGAAACAACTAAATTCTGAGGCTTTCACAGATAATCTACCCCCCCCCCCCCCCCAATCCACCAGATTATAATTACCAGTGAAGAAATAGTCAAGTCAATTCTTTCAATAAAAATTCAGCAGGTGGTCTTGATGGATTATTCAGATCCTCCTATTTTAAATACTTAATTAATTCAAAAAGTCCTTCCCATAGAGATTTTAACAACTTTTTGTAATAACATATTTAATAAGGACATCCCAATACAACTCACCAAATCCTTTTGGAGCATATTTAATCACTTTATCCAAGCCAGATACCAGTCCATTGCAGTAGAATTTTTCAGAAGTAATATACAAAATCATAATCAAAAGATAAAACATGATGCTGTCAACATTTTAAACTCTTATCAACTAGGGTTCGGGATTAAGGGCGGATGTGAAATTGCGCCTCATACTTTAAGGATATAGATAAAAAACCTGCTACCAGACTCAGATATGTAAACTAGATTTCAAAAACGCCTTCAATAACTTTTATCGTACCTCTTTTTAAAAATTCTTCTATGAAACTATAAATTTATTAAATCCTACATGGCTTTCAAACGCCTTTGACATATGGACCTTTTCAGATTCTGTCCTAGAAGACATACAATGGGGGTCCATTAGGACCTCTTCTTTTTTGCTTTGTAATCCATCATCTCATTTACCAAATTAAACAAAATTTCAACCTATACCTTAATCTGTGGAATTTAGACGATGGGACCATCTGTAGCTTCTCAGCTAATGTACTTAAAGCTTTAAAACACTTGGAAACCAATTCCCAAGCTACCGGCCTCACACTTAACATAAATAAAACTAAATTATATTTTTTTAAACAATAAGCCACAATTTTAGAAGGCTAGAAAATAATTGCTCTCAATAATTTAACGCTACTAGGGTCCCCATAGTTAATGCTACCAAGTCAGAAGGTTTACTTCATAGAATTTTTAAAAGCTTTTACAGCATGGAGCACATTTTATGCCACTTATTTACCGGCACACCAAAGTTTATTTTTAATATGCAAATACCTATATATATACCAAAATTTTTGCACATTTTCCGATCTATTTTAAAAACAACGTTTTTTATCAAAAATTCAGGATAAATTTATAATATTTTATTTTAAACATAAAATTAAACCCATTCAATTGGTCACTCGCCTAGTTACCTTCTAAATTAAGCGATTTCGAATTTTTGCCACTCAATCTGTTATCTTTATCATCATTTTTTTCATCCAGATTAAAGCAACTATGATTTCAGGCTTCATATGCCCTACCGATCATTTATTAGATGGCAATTAACAAATGGAAGGATAATATATCCATTAACACTCATATACCAATAATCATAACCCATAAAATTTTCTCACACCCTTAATTTAGAAATACCAAATAGATATATCAGTCAATCCACCTTTAGATTGCATTTAGCTCCTTCAATCAACAGACTTGGCGGTCATGAATGGTTAGAATCACTCCCTAGTCGTAACCTTGGTTATCAGATGAACAACTGAGAGTAGCTATTGGTTTACATCTAAGTTGTGCATAGCTTCTGTTTGTATCAATTGCAAATCACCAGTCGATTCAAACGATAGGCACGGCCTTAATTGTATCGACACCAATGCAATACAGCAATACACCATGTAATAAATCGAGGTTTACAACCACCTATATTCCAAACCATCTTGAACCCATAAATTTATCACAGGTAGATGGCTTAAGACCTGATGGTATGACAGCCATACCTTGGGCTTTCGGTAAATCACTAATATGGGACTACACATGAGTCTCTTTCCCTCAAATTTAAATAACAATCCACTAATACAGGCAGAAACTAAAAAGATTAATACAAAAATTTTATCAACTTCATATTCACTCCAATAGTGACTTCTACGAATGGCCATTTTTCTTTAAAAAATTTAGGCAATAAAATGATTTTTACAAACAAAGCCAGAGAATTTTTATAATGCGCCAAAAAAATCATATTGAAATTTTTAGACATAATTATGGTTTATTTTTGGAAACTCAATTATAAAATTGTATTTTTAATTATATAGTTTATTGTAAATTGTAATCGTTTTTAAATCAAAATAAAATATATGAATTGCCAAAAAAAAAATTAAATTTAATACTTGAATTTATATTGTTTGTTTAGTATTACATATGTTTTCAATGTTAAGTAGTAAAGATGATATACAATGAGAATGAATGGCTGTTACAAAATAGAATAATTAGCAATGATTTGTTTTGGAAAATTTTATTATCCTAAAAATTAAACAGAAAAATATTGATCAAAATTAGATATATAATTGTTTCCCTTTTATTTTCGAATGGGTCTAGAATTCTTTTCAGAATAAAATATTGTTTTTCTTTCGGGAAAAAATTTATAAATCAAATATTACAAGTGAATAAATATAAGTTTTAAAATAAAATTTACCTTAGAAAATACAAGAGAATTTGGTGAAGTAAGTGTCACTGTTTTATTGTCATAAGTATTATGTACGGGAGAATAAATGGATGATATGTCGGAACTTGGATTTGAAGAAGAGGATATAAGATTTGCATTCTTATCTAGTTTTTTGACTGATAACGGTGTATCACAATAATTATTATTATTAGTATGATTTGGAGAATAACTTGTAGATAATTTGTCACAATTATCTCCGTACGAGTTTAAGATACCATCGCTGCAATCCAAAGATTTATCTCCAGCCGTGTAATTTTTGGTCTCTTGTCCTTGAAAAACTTAAAATTTTTAACCAATTAAAAATAATAAATATATTTTTTTTTACCATTATAATCTTCTTTGAATCCAACACGTTTTTTAAGCATGGCTTGAATTTTTTATGTTAAACAAGTATCAGGCATAACATGCAAGCTAAAATATATATGGTTTTTTTTTAAATACAGTCTTTTAATAGGATTAATTAAGCTATTAAAATATAAAGTAATCAATTACTTTTATAAAGACATCTTTTCTCAAAAAAATGAAAGCAAATAACGTTTCTTTTCGAAGAACAATTTGAAAATTAGTTAGTTGTGCAACGTCACGCTGCCTGAACTCCTGAATTTTTATTAACCGAATCATGGGGACTAATTTAAATGTATAGGGAAATATAATTAATAATGAATTCAGGCTTTGGGACCGGGGTAATATTTTATTGATGATTATGAATTGTCAGGGGTCAATTTTGCAGGACCTTTTTATTGTTAAAAAAATATATATACTAGATTTCCATCTAGAAACAGGATATTTGCTTTTAACATAATTTTATAATAAATCTATAATTAAAAATAATTAATTTTAAAAAGATATCCATTTTAATTTCATCATTTATTAATTAAAATAAATTAACAATTTTTTTCTAAAATATTTGAGGTTCTCAAAAATAAAAATGTCACTAAAGTTACAAGTAAATCATAAAAAATTATATATATCGCCAAAACGCAGGAAGAAGGGGGAATACAATGCCAATAAAACTAACGAATTCCTTTATTAAAAGGTGTATATACAAAGATTATGATCCAACTCAAGGACATTATTTTTAATCACATGGCCTGTCAAATTTGAAATTATTAATAAAAATGATTAAATTTTATTAAAAACCATTTTTAATATATCTTAACCAACTCATATCTTTCAAACCTTTAACTCTAACCCATATCTCTAACCTTTATTCCTATATACTAGTTTATTAACTCGAATATATTTCATCCAATTAAAAAAACCCTGAGATGCTAAGTCTTTGAGTGGATTTATTTATCATATACATCATTAAAGTCCGATGTAGTAGATGTTATGGGTTATAGTAGACACCATGAATGGCATTTCATCAAAACTGGGATATTGCCAACGCGTTAATAAAGGAAGTGGGGTAACAATGACATTAATACTTACGAATTCCTTTATTAAAAGTCTAAATATACATCATTAAAACCAGTTATAGTCAATGTTATTGGCTATGGTCACCAATGAAGGTCATTTGGTTAAAATGCCTTTCGATAAGTGGACTTCACTGTATGTACACTTTTTATGTATTTATGAATGAATCTTCTGTTATCAAAATAAAATTGAATCATCGTAATTATTTTAGGTAATATTTTTTATATTAAAGCTACCCATTTGGGGTTTTGAAATTCTAGTTATCGCAAGAGTCATACGGAATCCCCAAGACATTCGGTTTAACAGGGATATGTTTTGTTTAAAAAAAACTCCCGAATCCGGGCTCAAAAAGGTTCAATTTTTTAAATGAAAAATTATTGATAATAAAAATCAGAGATCTGCAGAGGTACCATTGGCACGGCCTGGCCTGGATTTTTCATTTTTTTCGACCCGGCCCGGGTTTTATATTCTCAGGTCCGGCTTGGCTTTTTTTTAAAAAAATTTCAGGCCAGGCCCGGGTATTTTTTAAAAAAAATTCGGCCCGACCCGGGTATATTTAAAAAAATTAAAATACGGCCCGGCAGAGTGTTAAAGTAGCGCGCTATCTTTTTTGGTAGCTATAGCTAATAGCGGCTACTTTTTTGTAATTATTTATTTTTTTAGCGAGCTACAAAAATATGATGAAGGTAAGTATAAACATGATCACTTAAATATAATATCATAATTTAATTCTTATGATTTATTATTTAATTTTGAAATTGAAATATATTTTCAATTGTAATTTATATTTTCATTTGTATTGTAAACCTAAATCACGTGATAATAATTTAAAATGTCATCGCCTATGGATATTCAAATCGTTGAAAATGATTCAGACAATGATATTAATGAAATGGAAGATACCAGGGATAAAATGTTCTTAATATCTATAATACAAATTTCCCATTCCCTAGATTTTAAAAAATTTTTTAAATAAATAAAAAAATCAAAACTGGCTTCAAATTTATGTTTAAAATGTAAAAAAAATATTTCCTCAAATAATCCAGTAGCTATAACCTCAAGACACACTTAAAGGTAAATTGTCATTTTTACATTCTAATAGTATTTATTTTATAAGACTGTTCATGCCAATATTTTTAAGGAAATGGAGAAATATCTAAATAATTTTGGTATAGGCGACTCTACATCCAAAAAGACTAATTCAATTTAAACCAAATTAATTAATAATACAAATGCCAATATTTCTCAGAAATTGGCTGATAAAGTTATTGTTGATTTTATAATTGATGCAGTTCAGCCAATGTCCTTGGTTGATAATCCATCATTTACCATGATAATTAAAACTCTATTCCCTGGTACAACAATTTTATGTCGCCAGACACTAATAAATAAAATAGCAGATAACTAAAGTGATAAGATGCTCTAATAGTAGAGTTATCAGAGATATCATATATATGTACCACGGCAGATAGTTGGACACATAACAGAAGGTAAAAACTTATAAAATGCAAAAAATTACCATAAATATTTATTTTTATTTCATATTTTTTATAATCAAAACTACCTATATTTTAATATTTATAAAATGTTGATTTTTATATATTTACTATACAATAACATTATAAGCAAATAATAAAACATTTTGTTATTAAATTTTTTTCATAAAAAGGAGCTTAAAAAGTAGCTAATCTTTTTTTGACAAATAGCGATAGCGGAGCGCGCTACTTTTAAAAGTAATGTTTAACATCTGCGGCCCGGCCAGTGGTCTCTGATAAAAATACTTGAATGCGTTCAACTACTGCGTTGTGTAGATTTAATGGAAAACATTTCCATATTTTTTTAAATGTTATTTGAAAAATAAAATTTATTCAACTTGGAAAAAAATTGTTTATTTAACATAATTTATATTCTAAACAATTTTTGCAAATAAATTATAAAAAAATAATAAAATATGAAAATGTTTCTATTAAATCTGCGCAACTTGTAATTTTTAAATTAAATAATAATTGTGTTGTTAAACAGCTCGATTTTAACGGCTAACCCAATATTTTAACCCAAAATATAATATTACGCAAGCCGATATCAGAAAGGTTTAGACATCTATCGAGACGGCTCATTTAAAATTGGATAAATCGAACCATTTAACAACACTAACAAATAAGTCTGGTTTTTTTGTAAAATAAGTTTCTTATAAGGTCGAGCTTAATAAATAAGATGCATAGACCCAATCGAAAAACCTGGAAAACGAGTAAAATAAATCATCCAATAAGAAACGGCGTATTAAAAAATTGCAAAAGTAATAAATGCCCCAGAACATTAGGCGACAAATTTTGCCACACGAATTGCAATAAGCAGATGGAATTGATGACATTCGTGCTGAATTATTTAAAACTCCATAATGATTATCGAAGAGAGCTGTGAACTTTATTATATAATTAATCTGGATACGTGCCTATCTGCCTCAAAATTGGGGAAAATAATTTGAATTTTCCAGTGATAACGCAATCCTAAAATAAATAGAGGATTGGCGAAAGATTGTTTTGATTTTAAGCATTGCGCAAAATTTTATGAAGAATCTATTAATAATACTGCTACCCGATTTTATTCAATCTTAGATAAAAAGGGCATAGTACGACTGAATCAGTTGACAAAAACATGTTGTCAGTTCATGTCTAATATTACAAAAATTAAAACTTCGCCTGTCCGCTAAAAAATAAGATAAATTTTTGATCGCCTATCATGCCAAAATTTTTGAATTATTTTGTCATATATTCCCATTTTTATTTTTTTAAAATTATTATAATTCTGCTTATTTTATTTCCATAAATTCAACATAAATAACCAAGAAAATAATTATGAAAGTTATAATATCTTTGTAGTAAATAGTATTGAGCTGGTCAAATTTATATATCATTTTTTTCAAAAAAGAATTGTCCGTATGTTTTAATTTGAGTTGTGCTCAAATCTCTCCTCTAGTAAACCACTGATTATAGAAAATAATCGTATAATAGAAGATGAACCACCTGAGCTGATAAGATTTCATAGTTTACTTTCTTCCAAAATATAAAATATCTCGATTTTTAATGTAATTCATTCTGACAACTTCCGCTGGTGGTAGTAGGTACCTTATCAGAATCATCTGAACGATTTATTATGAATGCTTATATTTTATAATTTATGGGAGATGAACTTTAAAAAAATTAAAAAGGAAGGTTGAGTTTAATTGAGGCATTTACTCTAATTTTAAAACCTTCAGCATATGTTATGTGTTAGCAAATAGGTTTTATGATAATTATAATGCAAATTTTTACATATTAAGCTACCTTCGCTCATAGTATTTATTTCATGATGGAAGGGTCTCTGCCTGACAATGCTTGCTCCTTATGGGGCCTTTGACCAGCTAGCGTAATGAATGAACGAAATATATTTCATTTTTGCCTCGGTTAAAAATTTTAAACTTTTAAAATTTGGATCTACAAACCCACTTAATTGTAGTGGCTGCATAATAATTTTTTTAAATTTTATTAGACACTGCTTTGCTTTTTTCCTTTCTTTCGACTTTTCAATTTTATTATCTTACCTACTGAAGGTTGGCAAAATTTTTGTTAATTTTAGCTTTGGATATCATTTATAATTGGGTGGGAATCTGTTTAGAGTTTATAAGAGCAGCATAGAATAAAAAATCTCCTTGGTCAATAAGTTGAATTAAGTCATCTGGCAAAATGTTTATTTATTTGAACGAAAAATATTTTTAAGGAAAAGGGATTCGAATCAATGTTTGATTACCTAAAGCGATTTATTCGTTATTTTATTAGCATTCTACGAGGATTAATAATAAAATTACTATATTCGAAAATAAAATATGGATCGAAAATGAATAAGAAAAATATATTATCTGTCGAATAAATTTTTAATCTATTATTCAAGCGAATTATTCGTAACTATTGGATTTTCAAATTATTTATAAATATTTAATGTTCCTTGGGCAACTTTTT